TGAATCTAAAATGGATGCCTTCCAGGAGGTGGGAGGGTCTGCTAGGGAGGGTGTGCTGCTAATTGGCTGGAATGTGTCTGCTGACTGTGAGGTACAGGGTCAAAGTTTACTCAATGATGACGAATAGGGGGCGGGTCGAACCGCGCATATGTTCGCACGCCGTGGCGAACGCGAACATGCTATGTTCGCCAGGAACCGTTCGCCAGCGAACCGTTCGGTACATCACTAACAGTGACTACCCCTATGGACATGCCTCTACTGCTCAACCTATAAAGGTTGTTAATAACTGCCCAACTGCCTCTACGTTAAAACATTTTTTTAGTGTAATAAGCTGTGTGTAAATGCTCTATTAAAAGAACCACTTTTTTGTGTTTGTTGCTTTATGACTTTACTTTATTTACTTCATCACTATACATTATTTTATCAATGATTTTGGAAATAAATTATCAGAACACTCCAAGTTAGTTGTTGCAACCTAGATGGATTAGACTGTGCCAGGTTCTATTTTTGTATGTTTTTATTTAGTTTCAGGTTCCAACATGGAAAATAAAGTTGGGGATCTATAGATTACGAGAGCCAGGCATGACTATGTTAGGTTACCTATATGTGTATTAGTCGTATAGTAATGTGAAATGCAAAAGTAAAAATATGTTGGTTCCTAAATAAGAGTCTATAGAAAAGGAAGTATCTTCTCTAGTCAAGTCTAGTTAATTATCATCTCTGTGAGATAATTTCCCATTTCTCAACTGTATTCTGCATATCAAGAAAAAATAGACAATAAGCTGCAACTGACCTATTCATTTAAAACAAAAATAATGTGCCTTTCCTCTTCTAGATCTGTGACACAGCTCACTATATGGATTATGTAGCTTAGCCCTAAAATCTGGAGTGCATATTTGGCATTTTTGTTTTTGCTGGAGTAAGCAATATAAACATTTTCAAATCTGGGTTAAAATGAGTCCTAAAGTAGGTTTGTACTTTGAATGTCACCCTCTTGCCCCAATATTGCAAATCCTGAAAAGTGGAAATGCTCCTTTATAGAAGGTACCTGTTTAAAGACGTGATTAGTAGATAAAATGCTTAGATATCTGAGAAATTGCACAGTACATACAGACTTCCAACTATTGGCATTTTTTGGTTTTACAAATATTCAATATCTGCTCTTCTCTGGGATTTTAGTGATGTTCCTCTTTGCTGTCCTTGGAAACATGCTTATTACAACAATTGTGTGTCTGGTTAGTCAGCTTCACACCCCCATGTATTTTCTGCTTTGTAATCTTTCTGTTCAGGACATTGTTTATGTCTGTGCTATTTTACCAAAGGTTTTGGCTATTACATTAACAGGAGACAACAGAATATCTTACCCGGACTGTATCACCCAAATGTTCTTCTTTACTTTCTGTGTTGGAACAGAATTTTTTCTGCTGACCACTATGGCTTATGACCGCTACGTGGCCATCTGTGTTCCTCTGCGCTACTCCCTCATTATGAACAGAGTGGTGTGCATTCTTTTGGTTACTATTTGTTGGTTTATTGGCATTTTGAATTCTTTAAGTCATGCTTTGCTTATTTCTAAGTTATCATTCTGCTTTTCCCAAGAGCTGGACCATTTCTACTGTGATCTGAAAACTATAATAAAGCTCTCTAGCAGCGACACCACACATATTCAGATGTTACTCTCTGTGGAATGTGTATTTTTGGGCTTTGTTCCTTTTATGCTTATATTGGCTTCCTACACATGTATCTTATCAGCCATATTAAAGATTCGTACTTCAACAGGAAGAATTAGGGTCTTCTCCAGTTGCTCTTCGCACCTCACTGTTGTGTTTCTCTTTTATGTTACATCTCTGAGTTTTTATGTGAAACCAGAGACGGGGAAATCTCAAGAAGACAAGCTAGTTTCCTTGCTCTACACTGCTGTGGTCCCCATGCTAAATCCTTTAGTTTACAGTCTAAGAAATCATGATGTTTTGAGAGCCATTAAGAACTTTGTGGGAAGAGACAATTTAATGGAAATTTAATGACTAAATAAAACATTTAAAGTCACATTCAACATGTGTGATCATTTTGCATGTGATGCTCCTTATTATTTTAAGTACAAATTTAGCAGCCATCGCACACAAGTCAAAAGAGGAGAAACAGAATGACTGAGTGTGTTTCTTCTTCTGCTAATTATGTTCAGTTCAGTGATAACAA